GAACAAGGCGGCCACCACCGAGCGTCTACGACATGACCTTGGAAGAGTGGAAACGCGGGCCGTCTGGAATACTATTAAAATGATACTCTACACAACTAAAATCTCTTAAGAAGTCATGGCGTCCGTCAATACGTTAAATCTATAGTGCAGTCCTCAAAAGGTTGCACCGCACCGGAGGGGGGGGGGAACCCCTCCGCTCCTATAGCACAGTTTTTGACTACATTTTTATCTATATCTGATCTCTATTGAATCAATAATTTGTCGTACAATTAAATTTTGTACAATCAAAATCTGTGGTTACTGTCCTTTGTTAACCAGAACCATATGTCCTTTAGCATTTATTGCTAAAAACTATACAATCAGTCACATTAATCTAACTTATGAAATAACACATCAGTTAGTCAATTAATCTCAAATGTAAGTATGTAAAACATGTTGTAAACGGTGATTGACCATGTCAATCCCCCTGTTTGGGTCATAAAGGATCTAGCTAGATTCTTACACAGTAAACGTATTAATAATCTTTCAAGTGTAGAGACAAACAGCTGTTCTATTTCTCCTAGAGGTATACTCCAGGAGAAGATTCCATGACTTAGCTTTGCTCGATATTGATTGTAATAATTACCGTAATCACAATGACGTACTAGTTTTTCGGTCGGTTTTTAGATCAAATAGTGATTCTGTTGATAGAATGGATAATAATAAACTAGCTTTCACCCCCGACTTTGCCCGTGTGTTTCTACCAAGGGAGCATTTAATCGGGATAAAAAGCATCCTATCACCTCAGTCGGACTATACCCTGCCTGTATACCATATTTCTAAAGCTTAGATCCAGTCCAATGGACTAAGCATACCATAAGAGGCATAACTTAATAGCGTAAGCTGTAATGTTGTGTCAATTTTGGAAATAATGCAAATTGTTATAGTTTTGTTTTATTAGACGTAAAATTAAACCGGCATAGAAAACTGTAATTGCGGTCAGGATCAAGTCCCTTTTTGGTGGTAACCGATATTAAGGTATCAGTAATCCCCCAAGACATCCTGAGGGTTTCAGATCAGCTGTGACTTGAAAAATTTGAGTGGATAGTTATCCTTTTGAGGCGATCCTAAGATGTGTGTGCCTTTGTATGTCACCTTTTTATTCAATCCAGTCAATCAGAAAATTAGAAACGAGGCAATAAAATACCTCAGAAATATATAACATCTGTTTTTGTTCAGATCAAATACAATTATTATTGAAAAATTAAAAATAACAGGTTTTCTATTCAATGCCTTTCATCAAAACATGTATATGTTTTTACTTAGTTTTTCTATTCTGTGATTTTACCACATCATACCAGGTAGTACGAATGCGGTCAACGCAGTCATACTACCTCACATTGGCGTCTGTCACTTCCACCAGGCGATAACAAACACGTCTCAATTAAATAAGCTTCGAATAACGGTCAAGTCAAATTAATGGAAGCGTTTTACCTACCAATAAAACGCATATTAATTTACTTACCTTATTCGAAGCTTATAGTCAAGCTCTGCCTGGTAATGAGACTCAATGAAATAAAAATGGCGAGTCTCGCTTAGCAAGACTCCCCACCACTGCCAAGTGGAAGTGACGTAGTAGAAAGAGATAGACATATAGAAAAAGCGGAAGGAGGGAAGCAGAAGGCCTATCTCAATTAAATAAGCTTCGAATAAGGTAAGTAAATTAATATGCGTTTTATTGGTAGGTAAAACGCTTCCATTACATACCACCCAGTAATTGACTGTCAGAGAATGTCTACGACATTTAAGTCTGCCAATATTACAGTATATTATGTGCAATAATTTTTTTTAAGTAAATAAAGTACAAAATGCGACACTGTTCTAGTCATTTTCGATATTCTCAAGATAGCAAAACATACAAGATAAAGCAAAACATTTTACGATTCATTATTATTTTAACCAAAATATGTGGGTGAACTTGAAGTACCTATCAAATAATTATATATTTTATAATGATGTTGCTACTTACGGATACAGAACTATGATCCTGTGCTTGTATGCATGAAACAATATGTACCATTAAAATAAATATCAACATACTTTCACAAACTATGTTTAAATAAGAGCGTCTTTCCCTCTTTTTTGAAGTTGGTTAATTAATTACTCGGAACCTGTTAATGCACGAACATGCCAATTCACCAAGATAATCCTATGTGACAACATACCCAAAACGAAAACCATATTATTAATTATATATAACTAAGAGAACATCGCATAGTATCAAATCAATGAAATGGTACCATTTGAGCACTAAATACCTCATGTGACTTACACTCATAAGACACATACATTATATTGTGTTTATATCGGATAAGTTTAGTACATAAGATCATAATTGTAAGTAATAAGTGAGTCACAAGTTAAATCTGACTTTGACTCATTACCGTTTCCCCACCTCTCAATGTACTTTTGCTTATCTCGCTAACTACCACACACCAATGTAGGGAGGATGTTTAGCTTCCAAGTAAATAGCATAAAATGTTACCAATTAATTTACCCAACTTTATACTTATGGGATTAAGTTGATTTATTCAATAAAATCATTGTTATTAATGGTTGGTTTGTTTTCAGTATGGAGTTAATGCACATAAATTACGTCTAATACGGTAATATGGAAATACTTTACCAGATTATCTTCCTGAGTGCCAGCCAGAATAAATTCATCATGTTTGGGTTTCTCCAGTCGTAATGTGCTTTCGCAGAGAAACACCCTGAGGTCAGCATCATGCGCCAGAACAGGGTGCCGCGCGACCAGAGTCAGCCAGCGCTGCAGAGCGGCACGGCGCCGCAACAAGAAATTTGAGCTGCCTCCCCCAACTACCACACGCTTTGGTGGCAGTCGACATATGGCACTACAAATTTTAATTATATTGTTCAAAATCTCAAAATAATAGCTCATACAGAAGTCATAGAAAGATATTCTTTTTTATTATGAAAGATATTTGTACTTTAATTTTATGTATGTGTTGTCCTTTATATTGTATGTGTGTACATAAATAAATAAATAAATAAATAAATATTCTTATATAGATAAAAAAAAAATCATGTCGTTTGTAGTTACTCACCGATATGGATACTTAGCATACAAGATGTCATATAGCTGAACGAAATCATTGTATCTTCGTGATACTGTAGTACCATGTCTTCTAGAACTGACGTAGTACTCACAATGCTTCAGTATGAGACCTTTACGTTCTGGTACGAGCTCTACACTTATAACATCTGTTGCTTCCAATTCTGCAAATGTCACCTCCTCGGTCACCACTGACATAATACACTCTGTAATGTGAAATTTATACCATCCAAAAATTGTTTATGCAATATATCCAGAGAAATTTATGAAGGATGTAAAGCACAGGTTAAGTTAATGATTTATAATATAATGCAGCATAAGTTAACGATTTATTGCATATGCGATAATATAGGTTTTAAAAAACATTATCTTAGTTCTAAACACATACCTTTTGTATGACAGCTTCTTTTGGACAAACTATTATCTTAGACGAGGTACCAAGTTAGTTTTTATTACAGTGTTTGCAAGTAACAGGTCATCCGGTGTATCAATCTCTAAACTTTCTGTGCCACTAACTTCTATCACCGTACAACTAAAAATAAAATACAATACAAGTAATTAGACAACTAGTATTCCATACACATCATAAATATAACTTGGTAACAAATCGCAATAAAACAAACTATTTACGATAAAGTTTTATACGTGTGAGATGACGTTTGACGTCCATTCCATAACATGTCAAATGTCAAGCTGACAGAAGCAACATCAGCAATCAAGATTGTCACGTTAGCAGTGTCAGTGTCAGGAAGGTGCATGAGGAGGGTGAAGGGTGCATAGATGTATAATAGGGAAGGTGTCTACTCCGTGACGAGGGGAAACCTTCAAAATACGCCTAAAGATTAGATTTTATGTGGGGAGAAAGACTAGGGAGTGTGTGATTTTTACCCCACTAAAACCACCCCGGTGGCCACCCTCAACACCTATAAGGTGCATTGAATCCTTTAATCGGTACACCCGCGCCACGGTGCAATGACTTTACGGCACACCCCCAGAGACTAAAGTGTCAGAGGGGCCTACCTGTATGAGTTCGTTCCACAGTAGCCCGCGAAATTTTTTTTTCATAATATCAAGCAACAATACACCATTAAATGATCCTTAATTATACTTACGTAAATTACTATGTAAATACTATTTATTTAGGCCACGCTTCGCGCTTTCAAAGAAACATAGACATTTTTATCTTACATGAAAGCACGAGTACTTACTTATTATTTTGGAATTTTCCAGATTCTATAAGCCACCTCCTTGTAATGTAAAAAGCTCCTGATTCCAAATATTCACCACCCCAATCTTGTCTACGCATTCGTGCGTCAACATTAAAGTTTATAGGAGTCAATTTTCCATTGTTAAATCGCCAACGAAGTTTATAACTTCTAAAAATATAAATACCTAAATAATTGTTACATAATATTACTAATTATTACTCAATTACCTATTCAGGTAGGTATTGCTTTTGAGAACTTAAGTAGTTACGGTAGTTAGAGTTACACCTACTTATCACTTACCTTGTTACAGAAAATACACAATCGAAAGGAACAGGGCGCGATATTATTTCAAAAGCTCTTTTAAGCTGTATTGGTTGTATAAAAGGTGAAGTTACTTGCAGCAATATTAATAGTTCCACTTTAGGTCGGGATAACAAAAATTCGCGAGCACCCCAGATCGATGGCGCCCAATCAGTAGCAGTTACAAAACTACGACGAAATACTGTGACATTCTCTAAAACAAAATATATAAAAGCAAGTAGTGATCATCCTTCCGTCCAATGCATATTATAAACGAGATGGCAATGTACCAACCTCTAATACTTTCAAGAGCAATAATTGGGTTGTCAGTGGAAACTGTTATGTCATAGAATCCAGCGGCTTTAGCAGTATGTATGGTGCGTTTTAGCAAACTTTTATCGCCCACCTTTTGTAAATTTTTTAGACGCACGCCTTTTGAGCCACCTCTTGCGAGAATAAGAATTGCTATTTCGGCATTGTAGTATTGCAGGCTAAAAAAAATTGATGGATATGTATCTATTTCTAAAAGACAGCACCTACCTACAGTTGAAATTAACAAAATTAGGCAGCAGGTATATTAATACCTGCTGCTCGGAATCGGTTCATTAGAACCGATTCCAACTGTTTCCAAAAAGAACTTGAAAGTCCCACTTTAGCCTACAATAAATTGATACACTGTTAGGTAACACCGATATCTATTAAAGTTCTTTTTCTACCTATTATAGTTTCTTACTACTTATTAACTGATCTAAAATTATCAGAAAAAAAATAATGCATTTTCCCCTCGCGACCCAAAAACCCTAAGTTTTTTAAAAACACTTCTAAGTAGGATAAACTTATATTGTTATAGGTTCCTATGTACTTAAACTAAATTCTTAGATACTTCTTCAATACTTACATTGTTGTTATAATGAACACTTTAATCCACATTTTAACTCACAAAATATTGATTATCACGTTCGTTGCCAGACATAATGTTTAGGTCGAAGGCAAACAATTTTTAAAAGTATAAGGACTCTTAGTAGTGATAGTACGTAACCTTTGATTCAAATGTCTGTCAATTGTGTCCTGAGATAAGGTAAGGAAGTTTCCAATTGGGTCTGACCAATCGCTGCGCCAACCGCGCCTACGCCACGCAATCGCTTGTGGTTGTTTTCGGTTCATTTGTTTGGTCACGTTGACGTAGCACTCAGTCACCAGTGAAATTTTGAACCCCAGTTCCCATTTAGCAATACATATAGGCAATACCGCAATAGGCTCAGGCCCATAGATTTATCTACGGGAACGCAGGCGAAGGTCTTCTGCTCATTTGCTGGCTTGTCCCATACAAAAAAAGATCTTTTTTTAACTTTGTCCCACACTAGGATTTTCTCCTGTGTCGTGGGTGTGGGTGGGTTTAAAACCATACAATGTCACATACTCATGACACCCAGACCCGAAACAACAATTTGTGAATCACATAAAGAGTTGCTACATGCGCGAATCGAATCCGCTATACGTTGCGCGGCAGCCGGCCGGTGGCCAGCCAGGCATGCCCAGCCACCGCGCCAACCGTGCAGTCGATCGATAAACATAAAGAAAGAAATAAAATAAAAATACGAATGTTTTAGTAATAGAATTTATGTTTAGGTACATTTTTACATTGATTAAAATCAATAAAATGATAAGTAGGTACCTACATACATAATATAAGCAACCAATGAATTTTGCATTCAAAGAGGTCCGTGGACATGCGTACCTAATAGATTTTGAAATTACAATAAAATGAATGAACTTATCCTAAAATATGACAACGAGTATTTTTAAGTATTGTAATATATAACAAAGCTGCCTAATAATATTTTATTAAAAAAAAGTATACGCATAGGCACTGCTGTTTGTAAGTTGTCATTATTTTTAACATGGATGGGTACACAGAGTTATTAAACTGTCAAACACCAAGCGGTCACCGGTGACCGCAACCTATTGTTCTATAATTGTGTCTACAAAACCGGTACTCGACGAGTTAATTAGGTACGTACGTTAATAAAATTACAAGACGTTCACTGAAATAAAAATGAAGTGGGTACCTACGTAGGTATCATAGGAATCAGCAAAGTTGTCGGTCGACCATTATTAAAAAATTAGGCGATATTCGCTTGCACTCGACACGAGCGACTACAGTTTCTAGGTGATTCTGTAAGATGTCAATTCGAACTTTCGAAGTGACGTCGATCACGGTTCGCTATATCATTGGCGAGATTATTCTCATCTCGACCTCCATATCGACTTATAACTCCACTCCACTTCGAGAGTTCGAATTGACATCTTAGCTGCACAGTAGTTTGTTTAAAAAGTGTAGGTACTACTACCATAAACTTGGCCGGTAGGACTTATAGTCTAACATGACAATTAGTGAAAAAGGTAACAATCTACTTACTTTGATTATATAATGTCTTTTTTTTAAGGGGGGAAAATCATCGAATGACTGCCCCCGCCTGGGTGAGGCCGGAGGGAGTGTCAGACTCTTACTGACTAAAAACCACCCCGTTCCTTCTCCTGCACGTCGAGCCGGAGCCCCGGTTACCCGTTAGGTTCTCCGCGACATTATATAATGTCTAGATGCAAAATTGTGCTGTGAACTGTTCATTGCAATCAATTGCAATGCACTTTCCCGTCAAGTAGTACCAATCGTGTCACGTAGGCGTCACTACATGTCTCAGTGTATATTGTATAGTCTATGACTACATGCCTGCGCGCTACAAAATAAATTAGTAAACAAAAAAAAGTACACTGCAAAGATGGCGACATGCTCCATAAAATTGTGCTAAAATTATAAATGATGGTTAAAAAGTACTAAGCAGATCACTTATCAATCGCTAAGTAATTAAAAATTACTTTATTTAATTTATGTTTTTGACCTATTAGTGTTGCCAATTTTTTTTCAATATTCCCTTCTCATGGATTAAAGAGAGAAAAATTGACAAAAAAATCTCACTTGCCTGTAAATTAAAAATACAATTATTTTTTTATTATTTATTTCATTAACACTTACCTACACTTTAATGTACTATTTATTCTAAACGACTAAAAAAAAGCTTCGTTTCGATTTTCTACAGTTATTTTGAAATTATTAGATCGATTAGGTAAGTTATATTTTTTGATGGAAAGGATGCAACTGCAATAATATTTTAAATTAGTTTTATATAAATAATTTGTAAAAAAAATGTCTTAATATGAATATTTAATTATTCTTTTCATACGGAAAATAAATTCTTTGTATGACAAAATATAGATATCAACAAAGGTGTCCAATAAAAAAAAACTTTAAAATCACAAATTAAAAAAGAAGCTGGTAGGTACTTAGTTATTATTTTTGCTCCGTGTAGGTAAACCACAAGCCGCACGCACACATGCAAGAAATTTTGGAACGTCATTTTTGTTGCTATTGTAGAGTCTGGTAAACAAAAGTAGAGACTGAAAAAGCCCGGCAAATTTAAAAAATATCAGTATAGCAACCCAAAACTTAGTATACGTCATACCTGGAGTAACCAGACGTGAAGACGTATCAAACAAACAAATTATTATAAAGTATCAAATTAGGTTACTCCAGGTATGACATACTAATTTTTGGGTTGCTATACTGATATTTTTTAAATTTGCCGGGCTTTTTCAGTCTCTACTTTCGTTTGCCAGACTTTATGGTGACACTCTATCTAGACATTATAATAATCAAAGTCTACCTAATAAGTTTGCTAAAAAATATTGAAATATAAAAAAGAAATTCGAAATTTAAAAAGAATATTCAAAGCTTACTATGGTCAATGAATATAATTATAAACAAAATAAGAAAATTCTGTACAATACTTATTGTAAATATTTTACTGGCGACGTCTAGGAGAGTATTGCAGTGGCGAAAGTTGAGAATACGCTGTCACGTTTTCTTCGATGTTGCGCGATCTAGAATTCCGGGCAACAATTTGCTTTTTCTTGCCATTCACAGAATTTTTTGATACCGCTGTAACATATAGGTATAATCATAATAACATCAATAATCTTCTTTATCTAGTCACTTCTACATGTTTTTATTTTAAACGTGGCTCTCACACTAGGAATTTGTCGTATATTATGCGTGCATTTACAAACATACGAATTATAAGTTTACATTCACATCAAATCCAGACCCGGAACAACAATTTCTATGAAAAAATGTTCCGTACGAGAATCGAAGTTGCACAAAAATGTATGTAAGTATATAACGTAGGTAATCAGTTAATAAACTATTAGTCTGAAATTCTAAACTGTAATGTTAATCACCTGTCGAGGTACTCCGATGACTTTTCAAGTCTAGCGGTTGAGATGGTTTTGTGCTAAATCCTGAAGCAGTCGACTTCGGCGTTGAGCACTCGCTATCGATTCCCAAAGCATCTAAAGCACGCATTCTTTCTGCAATCTGATCTTTTATAATGTCTCGATGCGGGCCCGCTTGTCCCAAATATTCCATTTCAGCAAGCCATTCAGTGCGTTCTCGAATTTGAGTGACCACTGAAACACATCTTAGGCTATAGGAATTTTATAAACCAAACAGTCTAAGAGTCTGACTGTTTTTCAATTTTCAACTGGCAGAAATAAATACTAAGTTATTTACATTTCTGTCTCACCTAAAATCATTTTGTAACATAGACAATATGCCAATATGGACATATTGAAGCACGAAACTTGTTCTAACTCAAGTTGATTTTGATTTACAACCCAAGCAATTTATTTATCTATGATACCTAAAGCTGCAAGCTAAAGCTAGACGATAAGATAGCCATCGCGAAGGACACACCGGGCGTCGGGGATCGCGGGACGATCTCCGGCCACCGTAAGCGCGGGCCTGCGGACGGCGAGCATGGGTGGCTCCCCGACCGACCAGAAACAGACCCGAGCGTACGGCGCGGTACGGCGCGGCGCGTCGCGTTCCGCGCGCGCCTCAAAGAGCCTTCAGACCACTACAGATGGGGCCCAATAGGGCCGATACCGATTCGGAGTCGCGGAGAACCTAACGGGTAACCGGGGCTCCGGCTCGACGTGCAGGAGAAGGAATGGGGTGGTTTTTAGTCAGTAAGAGTCTGACACTCCCTCCCGCCTCACCCAGGCGGGAGCAGTCATTCGATGATTTTCCCCCCCTTAAAAAAAAAAGACGATAAGAGAAGTCAGACTATCGTGTTTATAAGTAGCTGTATACCTACTTAATATCTATTGTTGCATGATTGCATCCAAATCCAATCATCCAACGCTCTCAGATGATTGATAAACTTGGTTAAATTAGGTGCCTACCTAGTTTTCCCATATAATAATATATTAGGTAGACAATTATTTATTTTTGGAAATATGCTATCGCGGAGTTTTTTGTAGACGATGTTCTTCAATATTGTTGTACATTATTTTCTTCTATCGCTAATAGTTTCGGCAGCGCATTTGACGAAAGACGTTTTAAGACTCATTTTTCTACACCTTCGGTTACATTGTTCAAATTTTACCAAGGATCCCTAATTTTTTTCAAAATGAAATGTAGCCTATGTCAAATTGGAAGAATGTAGCATTCTATTGGTGAAAGAATTTTTTAAATCGGCCCAGTACTCTTTGAGCCTATTCATTACAAACATACAAAATATAGATATAGTATAGTATAGTGGCTAACTTACATTCATTCCACTTTTGGTTAGCAGTAGGCAATTTGGGTTGTTGTTTTTTCTTGTCTATGAAAACAGGAGGCGGCTGTTGTTGGTCATTTCCGAAAGCCATTGTGTTAGCCAGCCTCTCTTTCAATTGTTCCCTGTCTTCGCCACGTTTCAATGGTCGATATCTGAAAAGTCAGCCATTAAAAAAATAAGTACCTACTATTATGTTACACACTGTTGCTATTCATAGGTGTTTGTGATGATACTTTTTCTTATATCATCATGCCTTTTAACCCCAAAGTTGTAGGCAGAGGTGTACATAATGGCACTTAATGGAACATATTCAATAGATTCCCACCACAGATATAATAATGAAATATTTATTTCTGTGATTCTCATGTTTCACCAGTGACATTATGAGTCCCACATAATAGGTGATGCTATTCACACATATAATTATACCGGGTACAACTTAGGCTTCACTACAGATTTTTTATAGAAAAACTCAAAAAAGGAACAGTAAAATAATCAATAAACTTTCCTAAATGCCTCATACGTCAAGTGCACGACTGCTAAGCAAGTATTATAGGAGTCAATTCCTAGTTCCTTAAACATACTACAAAATCAGTCATTGTGCCAGGTAGGTATATGGTTGTGCCCACCTATTGATATGAGCCTCAATATTAAGTAATACATATATGGTACATACTTATTTGGGGAAAACAGAAAAGTATACTAATTTTTTAAGGAATAAGAGGCAAACGAGCAGACTGATCACCTGATGGTAAGCGATCAGCGCCACCCATGGACACCCGCAACAATAGAGGAGTGATATAATGATGCATGTGCCTAAACCTTCGGGCCTTATAGGTAGGCAATGGTATTATGTTAAAAAACGTTAAAATAACAACTAACCCATCTACGTTAAAGACTCCAGATTCTCTGATAGTGGACAGTGATCTTCGACGGGATGTTCTGGGACGAACCACAGGCATTTGGATAAGTACTTCAGAATTTTCTCTTCTTTCCTTATCATCACGGAGCCTTAGAGATGATTTTTGTCGCTGAGCGATAGTAAGCTTTGATTCTTCTAATAAAACTGAATATAAGAAAAAAATGAAACTAGACATGTATTATAAATATGTTCGCATAAAACACGAGCAATAATCGTAACGGTATAAAATGGACTGCAATCTTCAGAGCGTAGTTGGTAAAAGGCGTAATGAGGAGATGTATCTTCAACTGGTTGTTCTCCAAGCAGTAAGGTAACTCCACTGCATGCCTTACTGCTCCACAAAGGTATTTGGCTATAGTGCAAGTCCTTACCATCGCCAAATTCAGCTTTAGCTTCACGATAGTAATTTATAAGATTTTCTGTTTTTAAATCTGGTGTTCTTACATTCATTTTATTGCTCATAAGACTTGAAATTTTCCCAACACGATTTGTTAAATCAATGCGATGAAAATTGTTGTCAGACCTCATGATGTTGCTTAAGCACATGAGATTTTGTACGTCTCTATGTAATGAATTTCTGTCATACCCGTTCGGTATGATTTCATCAGGATTTAATATGGTATAGTTTGTTAGGTTCCATTTAGCTGCAGGTATCGAATTGTAGCGATGAAAAGACTTTCTATATAACAGTGCAGCTTCCGAATCGTTTGTATCTGATAATGCCAGAACTGTGTCTCGTAGGTTAGAAAGTAAGATGTTCTCCGGTCTTGGCACAAAATTAGCGCGTTTTATAGTGTTTTCAGACATAGCAGGATAGTAACTTACATTGTTATATTTGATTATACCAATCGCGTCGACAATACTATGCAAAGGTTTAGGAAGGAAATAATGATAAGAGGCTAATCCCCAGCCTTGGTATTTATAGGTATGATCATAATGACGACTAGGAAATGGAAAGATTATATAAAATTTTTCCTCAACAATTCCTAATAGTGCACGGTAAATAGAATGAATGTTAGGAAGTTCAGTCTTACTACGAATTTCAAAAACACTCCTAAAATAGTATAAACATAAATTAAAACCAATTCCTCGAGTTGTTATCGGTAATGTCAAATCTTGTGAATACCAATCACCACGCTTATCACTATAAGTCGCCATTGTAAGAAAATAAACTTTTATTAGTTTTATAACTTTTATGGCGGCTGTACACACTCGACGAGAACCTCTCGCCGAGAGCCTCGGCCGAAAAGACTCTCGTCGAGAGCATGCCTGTACACACTCGTTATAACATTTGAACTGAAGAGTTACACGACAATGGACGTAGAAGTAGCTGCTGCTATTTGTCTTTGTGCCGTGAGCTATTATAATTTTTTAAACATTTACTATAAAAAAACAATTCTCAAACCATGGAGAAAAAGAAGATGGTGGATGATTACTATGCACCGCAGTAGAAACAGGTATCAATAATTTATATCAATTTATTTAATCAATTTATATAAATATCAGGTAATTTAAGGATTCAATAGAAATGCTTCTTTGTTTCAGAAGTACAATGGAAAATCAATTGGCTGAGTTGGTGGCGGAACCTTCTGGCCAATTTAACAACTTCACAAGAATGTCTCTATCAGACTTTGAATATTTATTGCAAAAAGTGTCTCCAATGATAAGTAAGACAAATACACTTAAAAGAGAAGCAATACCTGCTAAAATTCGCCTAGCAATTACGTTGAGATTTTTAGCCAGCGGAGACAACTTTGAGAGTCTACATTATCTGTTCAAAGTTTCCGGTTCAATAATTTCCAGAATTGTGCCCGAAGTTTGTATTGCTCTAAACCAAGTTTTAAAGGATCAAATTAGGGTAAGTAAAAACAAAATAATTACAAAATTATTTATTAAAAACGAACACAGTTTTGGAAAAATAGGTTATGGTCAAAATTGTAGTAAGGAAGTAGGTACTTATAAAACTATGCTTCATAAAATGCCTGATTTACAATGTCGGTATTGTGCGCTGAATCTGTTGGTGGACTAACAATCTCGTCAGACAAAATTTGAATAACGTTATCGGAATGTGATCTTTGAACCCCTGGATCAGAATATGTAGTGCATGCCGACTCAGGCCGAACGTAGTATGTAGGGGATGTAGTAGAATGTAGTACAAGTCTTGAAGTTGGTTCTGAATGCATAGTGTACGTCGGTGAAGGCTGTGTGAAATATGAGGGTATAGCATTAATGCGCTTTATAAATAATCCATCTATTTCATACATCATTTTTAAACTATCTGTTTCACTTAGTTTACGGAGCTTATTAGCAAGAATTTTGCCATAACGATCAAAATCGTCTTCGGGCACTACCGGTTTATTCAAAACTTTATTCAGTGAACTCATGGCTTCCTTCATCGTCTTCCCAGCTTCTTGTAGTTCCATAGGATTTTTTCGGCGCCGCGGTACTGTTTCCAGTGAGGAAGTCGTAGGCGCAGAACCTGCGCCTACAACTTCCTCTTCTCCATCTAATTTTTCACTTTCTGTTGTAGTTGTTGTATTCTGAAAATAATAACACAGTTTATTTTATGTTACAGATTCCTGAGGATCCACAATCATGGTTACAAATAGAAAAAGGTTTTAGAAAATTTCCAAGGTGTATAGGCGCAATAGATGGCAAACACATTGTTATCCAATCTCCTATGCTTAGTGGTTCAGAGTACTATAACTATAAAAAGAGTTTCAGTATTGTTCTTCTTGCTTTAGTTGACAGTAATTACAATTTTATTTTTGCTGAAATTGGAAGCCAGGGAAGAATTAGTGATGGCGGTGTCTTTCGTAGTAGTCAACTATGGCAAAGAATTTGCTCAAATAATTTAAATTTCCCAATGCCACGACCGCTACCAGGGGGTAGAAGAGAAGTTCCGTATGTTTTTCTGGGAGACGGAGCATTTGCATTGACAGCACATGTGATGAAGCCGTATCCAGGAAGTCATAATGAATGGACGCCGAAACGTATATTTAATAAGAAATTATCTTCGTCACGTGTAGTGGTTGAAAATGCATTTGGGATACTAGCTTCAAGATTCAGAATATTTCGGAAACCCATATTACTAAACCCAGAGAAAACCACTATTATTGCAATGACTTGTGTACTTCTACACAATTTCTTGAGGAAGAGTAGAACGTCATCGGCAATTTATGCACCTTCAGGTACAGTTGACGTATATGACAGCAACAATGAGCTAGTCACACCAGGTTTATGGAGGAATGAAATTGAAGACACATGTGCCATCAGACCCTTGCAACAAATACCGAGAAGACCAGCACAGGATGCATGTCAGATTAGAGAAGAATTTACAACATATTTCTTTAATAATCAGCGCCAATAATTAAACGGGTTATATCTATTACCTACCTGTTGTAAATGTTGTAATAAATACATTTTTAATTGATATAAATAATGTTTTCTTACCTGTGTATCTGTGTTCAATGTATTTCTACACTGAACAATATTATTTAAAAATGAGTCCATAAACTCATAGGCGAACCATATTGGTTTATATACTGATTCGGCTGCAGCTCCAGACTGGATGGAGGCAATAACCCTTCTTTTATGACTACGATAGGTAGCCATAAGTGAGTCCCGCTTCTTTTTCAACTCTGCGACCGGGATTTTCATGTGCTCGCTTATTCGCACCCAAGCGTCATGGATACATTGTTTATCTTTATGATTCACATCCTTCGAGTTCCATAACACAGGTTCTGTTTGATACCACTCTAAAAACTGTAATTCTCGTTCATTAGACCACATAGTGAAACACGTGCGTTTATAAATACAGTCAGCGAGCAACTAAATGAACGAGTGTGTACATGCTCGCTCTCGTTTACCTCGCGAGAGCCAACGAGACCCTTTGACTCGGTCGCAAAAAACCGACAAGGCACCGAGAGCGAACGAGACGAGAACGAGAGAGCGAGACGAGACGAGAGCGCCCTGTACACACGCGCGCTCGGCCTGTCTCGGAGTATCTCGACGAGTGTGTACAACCGCCATTACGAGTTTAATTAAATACAAAACTAAGGTATAGCCATTAGCCAACAGCTTAGTAAAAAGGGCTAAAGGGTTTGGTTGGATTTGGAATTGGAATATTTGGAGTAATTGAGTTGAGGTCATTAGTGTCCTAGTGTTGTACCTGTACGCTACGATAAGACTCAATCGATTTTGATATTTGTTATTTTCGTAGATATGATTAAAATATTTCTGTGGTTTTTTTATCGAATTTAAGAAGAGGAGGTATGGGGCATGTTTAGATGATTATTTATTCGTGGGATATGGAAGTGGGTAATTCAGTCAATATTAGTTCCACTTGTCACTACGTCGAACTATTTTTCGCCAAGCAGTACCTACCCTGAGACTGTCTACGACGTACTTTATTTGGTAGGCTTTGACGTACATACATTGCTGAACTAACCTGTCCCCACAAACACAACTCACCACCACGTTAACATTCAACAACTCATCGCAGCTTTCACAAGGCATCATGATTATAGATGCTGGCGGGAAAAATTCTGAATCATTCCCGTCGAATACTTCGGAAATATTCCGAAATATTCTGAAACTTTGGGAATATTTCAATAGTCAGAAAAAATCGGGTAAATTTAAAATTTACAAGATCTGTAATTTACACTTCGGGATAAGGCTGTACTTAATTGAGTACAGTGTACTTTAATGGGTTAACAGTAATAAAAACAGAACGGAGTTCAATAAAGTTCCGTCTTTATTGAAGTTGGTTCTATGTTCTAAGATTTTATTGAAGAGGTTGGTTTGAGGTGCTACGGCTTCATTGAAGTTGGTTCTATCTTTTTACATAAATATTTTTATCTCAACATTTGTTTATGTCACGTGTGACTATACCTAGTCCGTCTCATGAAAGCGCGACCTGAGAAAAGAGGTTCAACACAAACTTTTTGTATGTGGTATTACTTACTAACTAGTAGGAGAATTATTATTTCTTGACACTTCAATTTTTTCGTTTCCTACAATTGCGGCTTAATAATGTAGCCAATTAAATTAAAAAAAAATCCAGGTCGCGCTTTCATTAGACGCAACCTAGTAATATAGTTCTGAAAACTGCTGCAAAATCGGTTTAACGCAGACAAACATACACATCTACATACGGTTCTAACACATAACCTCCTTTTTTGAAGTCAGTTAATATATAGGTACCTATCGGGTGCTCCTAAGTATAGAAAATAGGTACTTTTCTGAAATCAAAACGTGTTTGCTTGCAAAGTTTGCCTTTATTTGTTTTTATTGACTTTTATACGCATTAAGTAGATAAGCAATGATTAAATACCTATCTATGTGACTCGCGAATACTCGGGATGCGAACAGAAGAGCTATATACAAACGAATCAAACATGCTCGGTGGTTTTTTATTCTACAACTAAGTATCTAACATTTAGAAAAATAGGTATTTGCAAAAATAGCACAAAGAAATAAAAATCCTGTTAATCGCAGGATCACATATTTACCTACCTACCTATAAAAATACCAACATAATATTCATATTTATAATAAAATAAACATTTATATTTTACTTATGTGCCACTGAAAAATAAATTCACCCACCACACAACAAATATATGTACGTTTATTCCTGAATAATTCGGGCGAAATATTCCGCGGAAACATTCGATTGCGGGGTGTGAATCTATCTCCGCGGGCAAAAACTTCTCCGGGTAGCATCTCCCCTCTTACCGCACCCCGCACCGCCATCGCCTGCATCACCGCGTAACAAAGAGTTTCAAATAAATGTCACTAGATGGCACGACATTTATTGATCTATGGTTGAAGTGTAATTTTCAAGTTATATTGACTTTTATCATACATAATCAACTCTTATACACACCAAATTATGTAACAATAAGCTCATATTTCACATTTCAAACGTGATTGAAATGCACAATGTCCTCACGGTGTTTGACAGTTTAATATTTATACCAATAGATGGCGCTGTATTAATATATCAATACATAGTATAAAACAAAGTCGCTTTCGCTGTATGTCCGTATGTATGCTTAGATCTTTAAAACTACGCAACGGATTTTGATGCGGTTTTTTTTAATAGATAGAATGATTCTTAAGGAAGGTTTGTATGTATAATACATGCATATTGCACCCGTGCGAAGCCGGGGCGGGTCGCTAGTAAATATTAAAATCTCGATTTTTTTTAATTTTGTTTTGTTTAATAATATCACTGATAATAGGAGTACGTAGTAGTAGTACAAAAGTACATTGTGCTTTTAACGTCATCTATTCGGAATAAAAGTATAATGTAACCCTTCTTGCGATTGATCTACAAAAATAGCCACTCTCTCAAGCACTATACCAACTTCTCAATTGAGCGGGAGGTACTGACAAAATTGGTACCTACCTGGCTTACTGTCTACTAGATTATTATATTTTTGTAAAGAAGATGTGCAATTGGACCCAAAGGCACAAACTGGAACTGGCACAAAGGTTTCAACCCCAAACGATTCGAAGCAGGTTATTTTATTATACCTACATATCATATTTTCAACCACTCCAACCAGTTAACAGGTTATTATACTTTCACCATAACACCGGCTCCACACGTTGTGTTTGGAACTTTGGAAAATGGAATAATGCAAGAATATCAACGCGCCGTTCCATAGACTGATCTATAATCTTCCGAGGTAATAATGACATACTTTCAGGGTTTTTGCCATCGTCGCGTACCAAGCCATTAGGTTCTTAAGTAGCTGGCACGCCGACGAATAATAGTCACTTGGGTGTCAAGCAAAACAGCCAGAGCTGCGGCTACATGACAAGCTGTGGTGTCCGAGTAACAACTTAACGATAACCATGAGCTAAACTATTTTTTCAGTACTATGGACGGAAGGTATGAAAGCCGTTAGGCCTATACCTACGGGAAATTATGCGGACGCCGAGCCTACCCGTGCTACCAGACAAGGTGGCTTACCTATGTCCATTTGGTGTCCGCTTAGTGACTATTATCTTAATTGGTATTAGATTAGATTATGAAGACAACACTTGTTAAAAAATTAAAGTAGCGAAAATGAAAATAAAGAAGAAGTTATAAAAAATCCTACCCCTTAGCAACTGTTGCTGACTGTCCGTTGGTTCCGTCACGCGAGTATGAAATATTCCTCCATGTGGGATATTTTTGCTTGGCCAAGTAGTATGCACATAACCATTTTTATCAGGGTTTAACATTATAAAGTTTTTTATTGTGGAAATCTTTGCACTCTTTCCAACTAAAGTTTGTAACGTTTCCAGGGTAACCACCAAAGAGAAAAGCCATCAAAAAGCAACAGGCCCCAATTTTTTTCCCCAAAAATTAAATATGTGTGCCTAGCCTACTACGCAAAATGTTTTTGAATATGAATTGTATGTACATTGTACGTCTTAGATGAACATGCACACAAATGCATATAAAAATTTGGTATTCGAAAAATCAAATCTTATTTTTATAGGTCACTATTAGAATGTAAGTTCTCCATAGATTTATAAATATAACAAGTTCTCCAAGAGGAAAAAAAACTATTAATTACAATACAATACTATGTTTCTGAAATTCTAGAAAATAATAATTGTGATGCATGCCGATGCCGATGCATGGAAAATTAGATGATTATTTTGCTAATTGCGCAACTCAGTGTTTTATTATTTTTTATTTTAAAATGATAAAAAATAACCGTAATCATGCTACACCGGGGTAAGATAAAAAGACAGCATTTCATTGCATCGAAATTAAAAAATATTTGTTAGCGCAGTATTTAAATAAAGAACGATGACAAATATCTTTATTACGCTGAAGAAGTCAGGTAGAAAAAAATACCCATTTGGAAGTTGGATCAAACATACTGTAATTAATAATACACATAATTTCAGTAGCATATGCACCCACTTAAATAAAGATGGAGTCACCTGTGGAGAAACAAATTCAAAGAATTAAAATGCAAGAACAAGATAATGAAATTAAATTACGGGAAAAGCGTGAATGTAAGTCTGAACTTTGAACTCTGAACAATACCGATAGGATTAGTCCATCCTAGGACTATTACAGTTATTAATTTATAACACCGTAGCTTATATTATACAGTTCGTGTTTTACAATATGTATGTAGGTACTTAATACTTAAAATTGATGTACACAGTGCTTCTAAACGGACAATATTATAACTATTTATGTGCAAATGTGGCTGCCCTGTAAACTATAAGGGTCATGGTAATGGCCATAGCAAATAATGCCCAATAATGTTGGGCTTAGGATAAAATAATGTAAATGAGTCATAATTATGTCGTACGGTCGTAAGTAAGTCGGGGCTCCGGGTCGAAGCACAGGAGAAGGAACGGGATGGTTTTTAGTCAGTAAGAGTCTGACACTCCCTCCCGCCTCACCCAGGCGGGAGAAATAATTGTATAGATGATTTTCCCGCCTTAAAAAAATTGTCGTTAGTAATATTTTTTAAATATGGTATCGATCTTGTTAGTTATATTACCGGCAAGCAAGTTGTCTTGGTTAAAAAAAGTCTAAGTTATCGGCCACTTTTGTTGCACCTACTTAGAGGCCAAAATACACTCTTAGCGAGGCGTGTCGTGGCGCGCCATATTAATTCCAAATTCTGTACCACCAGGAGGGAATTTCACTGTTTTGAATTCATTATTCCACCATTTCGAAAATTCTTTTAATGAAATTAAAACGTAAAAGACATAATACACTAATAATTTATACAATGATTAGACACCATCGATGTATATCAGATAGATTGGAAATACCTACGATCAAACATGCATATCTATACACAAGGACGTTGAAAAAAGGCGGACAACGATAGACTATCTATTACACACCCATTGACAAGAAGGACATTTCCCGTGTCATGGCCCGTCATTACACTTTATACAATACGGTGTTGCAAGTACACGCACACATAAATACACCACTGACATTTTGGTGCTTCAATCATTCCTAAGTGACTTTTTTTCCAGCATCCTTTTAGACGTATGATTATTTAAATATACATAATTATTTGAAAGAAAATACTGGCGCCGTTTCTTTGTTTCCCACGTGCAATATTAAAAATTTATGCAGCAGTCTCCATAAAATGCCGCATTAAGTGCTGTACCTATAATGTGCACCTCTGCCTACCCCTTCGGGAATAAAAAGGCGCGATGTTATGTTAATTTCCATAAACTGATTTCTTTTCATTTTGTTGCGATAAATATCTCTACATGTAATATAATCTATTATTTTAACAGTGAATAATACAATAGTTTCCACCAACCGAGAGATTCGTGACAGCTTGGCCCAGTTGAGTAAACTATGCAAGGAATATCAGTATCTGATCACCACTACCGATAAGCTTGTCCATCAAGTGGCTGTGGAGAAATTGCGATTAACTGCGGTTACTACAGAAGTAGATAATTATGTTAAAGAATTTAGAGAACTTCATAATACATCTGTAAGTTTTTGATTTATACCTAATTACTGGTTAGTCACATGTGCTTATATTTTGTAGTAGGTACATTAAGTATTTTTACTACCTACACATAAAATAATGAAACTTTATTATGGAATAAAGAAAAAAAATACTACAATTTATCGAGAAAGGTTTTATGCCAAAAAGACAATCATCAGCGCAGCGTGATGTTCTAAAAACAAATGTATTGAATAAAAATAATAAATAAATTTTTATTGCAGAATGATGGTGTTTGGTCTGTTTGGAATAAACGATCAGAATTGCTTCAGGCCATCGAGGACGTTGTAAACAAATGCGACATTTGGCCGTTGCTAATTAAACCTTCACACAAAGAAATATTTTCAGACATTAAACCTCTCATAATTATAAAAAAAAATGTTCGAGATAAAGACAAATTGAGAAATGCTTTAGAAAGACGTAATAAAGCACAAAATGAACGTAACTATCTGTTATCAGAACCAGAACTGGGAGAAGAATTTATTAGGTAATTCTGAATCCAATATTATCTAATGTGTGGTACAGCTTGGCAAAAAAGAGTCAGGACTAATTAATTGTGGTCGCCAGTATCGTACCTGTCGCAATCTATATTTTTATTATTTTCGAATTTAAAAGGAGGAGGTACTATGTCCGGATGATTGTTTATTTGTGGGATATGGTCCGAAGTGGGTGATTTAGTCCAAGTCAATGTTAGTTCCAGCTGTCACCGCGTCAAACCCTTTTTGTTAAGCTGTTCCTTATGACAGCTTACTAAGTGCTTACGATACTAAAGTTGCTCATATGATAGTGGAGTAAGCTCCATGGTTTAAGTCATGAGTGCGTTAGATTATTGTCTATGCCTGGATTTATTAAGTGCCGACCCTCACGTTTTTCATAAGAAAATATAATACATACATGAACATGAAGGAAACAAATGTTTATAAAACTGAAGTTTTAAAATATATTGTTTTAGAATAAAAAATGCTCTACAATACTCGATGGAAGCAGCTGCTAACGCAATGTAGCATCATGCGTAATTAGACAATCTCAACTAAGTACTAAATGCTTTCTGGTTCCGCGAAAATTCTAGTTCAGTAAGGTGAAAGGCCTTCGTGAAAGGCCAGGTAATTAATTTATATGAAATAGATATATACAACTTAGAATATAAATAACTATAAACTGAAATATTTACACCTCAAAAAGTAATAATAATAGTACTTAGAATTATGTTCATGATACGATAGTAACTCTATGTATTGCAATTTCTAGAATACAAGATTAGCAATATCGGCCATCTTTAAGCATTATTTGACTGTAAACAATGCATGCATTTTTTTTATAAAATATAAGTATGCCAAGTCCATGTTTACCTTTATATCCATGGGCTATCTGTCAAAATTGTTAAAGTCAAATTGTCAAAGACGAATCCAAAATTTCGCCTCATCTTTCGAATTTTGCATTGACAACCTAACCTGATTTATTTATTGGAAAACGGCAGAGTAGAAATTACATTACATTTATAAATAAAATGATATAAATCAGTATCCATTACAATGTATAGAAATATCGCAAAGTTTTTAAGGTATGTGCTTGCTGGCTGGTAGTTCTAATATAAGTGACTAATCTAATGGCAACGAAAATATAAACTACCGACAATAAATTTGTGTTAATTTCTTTGCAGAAACGTCGGGCGTGACTTCAGGTCGACTAGATCATTCAGTAATAAAATTGATGCAAGCGAAAATGAGCCTATCAAATTTTCTACTAGCCAAGCTTCAAGAAAGTCAGCCAGACCTTTAGTTAAAAGAGTAGATTTAGATATGCCCTGGTACCAGCCTTTTTCAGTGGTTGGTAGTGTTGCAGTATTCTTAATATACTTCTGTGTGCTACGGGAAGAAAATGATATAGATCTTGAATTTAATAAAACACTTTATGACAGAATAAAGGGTCTAGAAAAAGAGCAACTTTTGCAATCATATAGATTTAACAAGGAGCATGGCAAAAGTGTTGATGAGATAGAAAGGAGACTAAAGGAATTAGATGAACAAGAAAACAAAGTCATTGTGCCCGTTGCTGAGTAAGTGAATTTGTAACAATATTATTATAGATTACTTGACTTGATTATTTAAATGTAGCTAGCATTTCGATTATTATATAAACATTGTTTAATGTCTTGTTAAGTGTGTAAGGAGACACTATACATAGACTATTAGGTAAATAAACAATACCAAACTATTAGCTGTGGTTTATTATTTCATCATCAGTTGTAAGACATCCCCCTTCCTTTATAAGTTACATGTAAAGTAGATATCTTTTAATATTAAAATAATAAATGATTATTATGAACAAAATAAATTGGGTAGCACCTAAGTTCACAAAGTATTTAAAATTATGACCGATAAAAGCATTACTATGTTTATTTACTGGGACATCCAGTTATTACATAATTAAACATAACATAATATCACGCCTTTTATCCCCGAAGGGGTAGGCAGAGGTGAACATTACGGCACTTAATGCCACTGTACAATGTAACACCCACTTTTCACTATTTATGTTATTAGTCCCATGTAATAGGGGGTGAGCCTATTGCCATATACAGGGCACATTTCCAGACTCCGTGCTACTACTGAGGTTTTTACAAGCCCAGTAATACTTTGCCCGACCCGGGAATCGAACCTGAGACCCCTTGCCCGGCAGTCGCACTTGCGACCACTCGGTCAATGAGGCAGGCATAATTAAACATTAACGTAAAATATATAACAGTAAACTACCTAATGCACAACATTTTAAGGGCACAAGACACAGTCACAGCATTGGTGAGAAAATAAAAGGAACTGGTTTAAAAAAAAAGCAACACTATTATTAACTCGTCGAGTACCATTATTATAGACACAATTATAGAACAATAGGTTGCGGTCACCGGTGACCGCTTGGTGTTTGACAGTTTAAATTAGTTAAAAAAAAATATTTATAAAAGAATGATATCTATACATTTAATAAAACTGTACAAGTATAAATTCTGTACATTGAAAATATAAAAAAATTGTAGGGGCTGACACTAAATAGACACCAAACCCAAAAATGTGATTAAACATTTTTTTGTCTGTCTGTATGTTCACACATCACACAAAAACTACCGGTCTGATTACGATGAAATTTGGTATGATTATACTTTAATATCCTGGGTACATCACTGGGTACTTTTTATCTCGAAAAATTATATACACGAAAGAACCAACTTTTGTGCGGTTCGATTCCTAGACATAAAATAAGTTTGTCGAATGTTAGGTTGCCTTCAGTGGACTTTACGCTGTAACTGTAGGGCCGATAGTGGAAATTAATATAATACTAAAAAATCAAGGGATCAACCATTATCATCAAGAACTCATTACCAAAGGCAGTAATAAAAACAGTATGTTATAAAAGTTGTGTCGGCTAATGGGTTAATCCGACATTCATCATAAGTATTCATATGAGGTCAGAGGTTGGTTTGGGGTGGATGGATCAAGGGTGTTTCGTCAGTTTTTTTTCTAACTTGGACCATCCTTGGTTGTGTCCTATTTTTATTTATTTTAAAGTAGTTCCTATTTAAAAAATAAATATAAGTTTAGACTTAGAAATAAAACTTATTTGTTTAAATAAATGGAAAAATAATATGTGTATGTAGTACCTAATACATAAAACAACTAATTAGTTGTAAAACATATTAAGTTATAAGGTATACCTATTCAGTGTACACATTAGGTACCTACTAAAATTATCCCCATGTCTAACTTCATAATGCTTAAAATGTATTGTATTCTTTTATTGACGAAAAATAACACTGGTTAATACCAGTGTAATCAGTACATACTTACTAACAGTTAGTTGTTCCCCATTTTTGTAGTTACAACACCTAAATATGAAAATCATAGTTACCATCATGCTAGCTGTAAGAACTCTGTTCGAGCTGAACACAGGCCCCATGACTTCCAGATCAGCGGATGAGGTGCGACCTGCATTCGGTAGCTCCCAGCTTTTATCAGTACCAGTGTGTAGGCATGGCAATAAATCGCATTACTGCATATTATGATGATCTAAAAAAAGCATCGTTTTTTATTCACTCAGAGAACCGGCCCTGGCGAGAAATGCGTACCTATGCACTGTTCTTTAGGACATTCTCTATCAGCATGACTCGAAAAAACTGAGTGCCAATAATCAACGTGACTAAAAAATGGTAATATCGCAAATCAAAGTGGTAATATTTTATTGAACTTTAGTTAACTGCATAAGTACTAAATTTTAAAATTTGTCATTGGTTTAGTCATAATTGTTTGCACTTATGGTGCAACATCATGACATGAGTCACCCAGTTCTGATGTAGGTATCTAATGGTAGGTAATGTTTTAAAAAATAAAACAAAAAATTTAGACCCTAATCATATTTATTTAACACCAATTTTCTCATTACACATCGAAAGATGCAACTTAATTACGCCAAACACTAACTCACACTGCACATGGTTCACATTACCTATTTAATCTACTTATGATTTATAAATGTTAATTAAGAAAACTTATTATTAAATAGTTAGTATCCTGTCTGGAGTACTGCCAATGCCAATATGTTGAAAAATTAGAACATGACAAACAATAGTTACTACACAAACTTAATTAACTTAAACAATAAAATAAGTATTTTATTAAAAAAAACTCAGTTCTGCTTCTTCCTTATTTATTACAATGAATGAATATAATGTAAATAAAGATTAAACAAGACATTAAGAATTGTTATGGAATTTAGATCTATTGAATTACCAATAATTTATGATTAAAGTACACTAGTTTTAAATTTAAGCACGCTCGCCACGGATTCGTCGGGCCAGCTGAATGTCCTTAGGCATGATTGTGACACGCTTGGCATGGATAGCACACAAGTTGGTGTCTTCAAACAAGCCCACCAAGTATGCCTCACTGGCTTCCTGAAATGGAAATATTTGACATAAATCAAGGTTGAATTAAATGTAAATTTAAATATTTAGGGTCATAATAAATCATTGTTTACCTGTAGAGCTCCAATAGCAGCAGATTGGAAACGCAGATCAGTTTTGAAATCCTGGGCGATTTCTCTCACCAGACGTTGGAAAGGCAGCTTACGAATAAGCAATTCCGTAGACTTCTGGTAACGACGAATTTCACGAAGAGCCACTGTACCAGGGCGGTAACGATGAGGTTTCTTGACACCACCAGTACTCGGGGCAGATTTACGCGCCGCCTTTGTAGCCAGCTGTTTACGAGGAGCTTTACCTCCGGTAGATTTACGAGCAGTCTGCTTAGTACGTGCCATTTTTTACTGAAATAAAGATAACGTTGTTAGATTAACAATTACCACATCAGGAATTCTCGAAACACTCATATCGCAATTGATTGTGTAAGAAATCATTCCTAAATAGTTCACACTGATTAATCATATTCTTTTCTACGAAACTACACACCTTTTAAGTTATTTCAAATGAATAAACCACAACTTTTAATTAAAATGGAACAGCGAAAGCACACACAACAAAGATCATATGCTCAAGATGGCGTCGAAGGGAATGGCGGGTGAAACAGACGCCAATACTTCCGTTACCTGATTGGTCGAATGTTATATGATTTCTGACATAGGATTGGTTAGTAATGTAAGCATAGTTATTGGCTCCTTGTAACGAACTCTGGTCACTGATTGGCCCAAACGTTGTGTGTGGCCATTATTTAAAAAGGTATTTTTTAAATTAAAAAAAATATCAGCACACTCAATGTTGCCATAGAGTTAAGGTAATTATTCTTCGACAATTCGACTTAAATGTAATAGAGATGAAATAGTTACATTTTTACCCGACTTTAAAATGCAAAGACGTTAACCAAGATAATTACTAAGCTTATGTATTTTGTCCCAATTTATGAAATATTTGTTTCGAATTTTGTAAACTACAAAAACAAAAGAACAGGTATTTTAAGTGCAGTTTAATAGTATTTTATAGATTTTATAGTATATTATAGATTTCAAAAAATATTATTATTAAAATTGTTCCAGAATTCAATTTAATCAAACCAACCATAAGGATTGTTCATGGTTATTATGTACTTAATCCAGCCCTATACAAAATTTAGTATCTGTCTAACAAAACAAACTATTGTTTTTATTTTATAGGTATTGTATGAAACTGACATTAAATGTACTGCAAGTGCCTTAATTAACAACAATTAATAAAAAAAATAACACGCATTTTAGCATCCTCACTGAAAATACCTATTCCTACTACTCTACTCTTCAACTAAGTTCTATTGTCAAGTTTGCGTTTTGTACATCACACTTTGTGTCCTATATTTTGTCTTTGTCTATCTGAAGAAAGTTCTCACTGAAAAGAGCGAGTCAAGTAGAAAACATTTAAGTTGACAGTGTTGTCAATGGATTGCGTTCTATTTTTTTGATGCCGAAATTAAATTCGACTTAAAGATAACGCCTATTTAAGTTCAAGGCCATTTAAAATTAAATTGTTTAGATTTTTCAATATTACTACTATGCTAAAAGAATTGATTAAAAGTATTTACCTTTTCCCTTTCTAAAATAAACGTATCACGTGATCTTATATTGAATTTTAATTGGTCGTCGTGAGCGTGCCCTGCGCGACGCGAGAGGCGCAATAATTTTCCAAAATGCCGTCGGAATCTAAACCTTTGTTAGCTGCTCAAACAGAAAAACCAAATCATTACAAGTAATTACTTGTTTTTTATTTGTGTAATAAATAAAGTGGTAGTGTTTCATGTGAAGTTCAATACAGTGTATTAGCTCTGAGTTTCCAATTTCATGTTCCAGATATCTTAAGGAGTTTCGGGTAGAGCAGTGTCCGTCTTTCTTACAACATAAATGTACACAACATAGGCCTTTCACTTGTTTTCATTGGCATTTTAATAATCAAAGACGACGAAGGCCCGTAAGAAAAAGAGATGGGACTTTTAACTATAGCGCTGATAACTACTGTACAAAATACAACGAGACATCGGGCATCTGTGAGGATGGGGACGAGTGAGTGCATTTTGCTTTGTTTTGTTGCATACTTTTCTTTCTTTGTTCTCATTAGTGGTAGTCTACAAATGCTTGTTATGGACTTATTTGCTTTGGTTATACAATTATGATTTGGGATAGGTAATCACGTCCAGGAATCTTATTAGATTCATATTTGTTTACTGCTATCTCAAGTATAATCCGACTAAATTCTAAGTCCACGTCACCGCTGAAAGTTGTTACGATTGCCATGACATTGTGTTTTTATAGGGTAGGCCCATTGTTCAATCTGTTTTGAGAGATAATATTATGTGTTTGTGAGTAAAGAAGTGTTACATTCTTGTTATTGTTATTGCCGTTTGGGCGTATACAGCAGTCAGGAAGCCACTCTAAAGTAAACTGTGGCTGCATCTTATATGTTTGCAATATTTATGTCGTATCTCTTGAGATGAGTACATTGTATGAAAACAAATTGCTGTTCTAACTACAATGAGTTACATACTAATTTTGTTTGTTGATAAATAGTGTGGGTAGGTATTCACTTACAGATACATGTGAGTTATTTACTAAAAACTAAAGTAGCATCCAATTAATCTTTTAGGATTGTTTGTTTTGTGGGCAATACAATTTTTCACTTATATGGAATAACCAGGATACCTTAGGTGTTGTTATAAATACACTTTTATAATAATTTAGTCCTTAAAACTTTGAATATCTTGATTTCCCAAGTTTTGGTTGAGTATTACAATCAATATAGGTAGTCATTATTTGTAAATCTTTTGTTACTGGTGACTGAGTATTGACAATGAACAGCTTCAACATGTATGCGCCTATAGAAATTGAGAAGAGCAAACAAGCCTTCAAACATAGCTGCAACTGTTTTGGGTGATCACTTCACCAGTCAATGAGAAATGGGTTTTTATTTTTAACCCTATACTTGGCAGGCATTTTATTTTCAGTATTTTTGAAAAATAATGCCTGGTTTGTGTTCATAGGTGTTCACTGGAAAGGAGAAAAATAATAAAAAAAATTGTAATTATTTAATTTACGTTTTATTATATGTATCACATTAGGCACATTGCCAGGTTCATAATAATCAATTGAAAAAAAACAATGTATCATATTTGACACATTGCTTAGAACAGGAAAACTAAAAATAATATAAATTGTGTTTTCTTAATCAACAAATACAAAAAAAAATCTTCTAAAAATCAACATAATTATCAGTCACAATCAGCCTTTAAGTCTTACCTAATTAATGTGTATAATTTATGAATAAAATGAGATCAATTTTGTATACAACTACTTAATACGTACTTATACATATCAGTCTTAAGAGGAGTTCTTAGGAGTACCAGTTGAAGAACTGGCCTCACTTTATAATATCGTCACCATCGTCTTTGAGGTTATCATTCATTGAAATGGAGTAACGTCTGAGTAGTTAGAATTTCTTTAATGCCATAATATCAGCTACTATATTATATCGTTACACATTTTAACGACTATGGGAGTCGTCAATTCAAAAGGATTGCCTAAAAGTCTTTGACACCAACTTCTGTACTATTTGTAGATGTACCATTAATCTGTGTGCTATAGATATTTTGTTTTGTTTCACTATATGAGAGACGATGTCGTCTGAGAAGAACAGCTTGAAGTATTCCATGGCACTCTTTTCTTCATTAGGCTCAAATGAAATATCTTCTACTTTTGCGGAACCAGTAA